GAAATATGACAGTTTCATTCATCAAGAAGTACCTCGTGAAGAAGCTTAATTTAAGAAGTGAAGATGAGGTTTGTCTTCAATTTTACTAATTACATACTTGCCTTGAAAAATGACACCTTAATTTTGTCTATTTAGTAAGGAAGGATATAATGAAAAAAATTTCAGGTGGAGATTAGTGTGTATGGACATGAGTTGCCTGTTAGTATGCAAATAAGAGAAGTAACGGAAATATGGTTGCAAGCGGCACCAGCTTCAGAAAGGAGAACGGCGGTCGTCGGTAACTCGGCAGAGGACTTTCTGCTAACCCTAACTTATGGCCGCAAAGCTTCATCTGCTTAATTAAATCGTCATTTTTCACTTGTGCTTGCACTTTTTGCACCAAGAATTAAAGATAAAGCATGAACTATTAATTGGGGTTGTTATCGAGACTTGTGTTTTATATGGTCCGGAAATTTGGTTTGCTACACACATATAATTATGTGATACTATTATATTTATAAGCTAAACACGTAATGTGATACTATTATATTTCTATTTTCATGTGAGTTTTTGAATAAAGATTGACATTGTTGGAAGAGTGATATATGGATTTACATATTGTTTTTAGATTTAATCTATTTAATCTATTTTGTGGGATTGATTTACCAACTCACTCAATGTGTCTGGCAATATCTGATTTTGATAATATTATAATAAAATAATGGGCTATACTTGTATCACAAAAATTCTATGAAGCCATCGAATGATTTTCTTATGGAGCCATCCACCACTTAATGTATTGATACATGTCCAAAGTGTATTTATTGCAGGGCACGTGTCAATACACTATTGGTGAATAAGTGTGAATGACTCCATAAACCGAGTCATTCGATAACTCCATAACAAAACTGCTTGTACAATATCTTTTCTGATAAATTAGGAAAAAGTACCGACCATTAGCCCATTTAGTTCCCTACAGACTAGACTACATAAAGAAGTAGGGTAGAGTACAGTATTTATAAGATTTTATTTTAGGAAAGAAAAATTCCAATAAAAAAACAAGCTTGCATGTATGAATATTGATTAGAAACTTAACGAATTTAGAAATAATTAACCATTCTTATTAAAAACTAATTAACGCTACGCATCTGAAACGCTTCATTGCCACAAACATACTCTCTTGCACCAAACAAAGTATTCATTAATACACATCACAACTTTTCCCAAAGTAGCAAAGGATAAAACAAGCAAATAAAAACCGTAAGGCAGGCACCAAAATCAACTATAGACGTTCATTCTCATATAACAACAAAAAAACATACCAAATCTGGAATAACACACGACTTACAATGGGCTGTGGTTTGTGGTGGATCACGGGCCCAGCCTGTACGGGCCTTCACCCATATAATGGCCTTCCATGTAAAGGGCTGCTGCAGTCTGGGAATGGAGGCCCTCCATCACCATGAACTGCATGTCCTCAGAAGGCTTCCAATGCCGTTTTCTCTGGTTAATGAACCAATTGTTTATCTGTTTCTGGTCCAACCCGGTTGACTCAGCCAATGCCACCTTCTCCGACTCCTATTATATATATTACACCAAAAATGGCAAACCGAGAAGTGAGATTTTCTTCATTTTGTAAAGATATATTGGCAAAAACTTAATTTTTGTCTGTTTACTTGTCTAAATTCCTTTTTTGGTACACTAACTTTCCTCTCATCAATAATCATACGTTATGTTGCAATTTGTATCATTATTCGGACAATACTCCCAAAAATGGTTCATTATTTTTTGGGATTAATGTCCTAAAAATCATACAAATTGCAGCATAATGTACAGTTTTTGCTGATTAATGTCCAAAAATGATACAAATTGTAATATACAGTACTTTTTTTATAAGAGGAAAGTCAGTGTACCAAAAAAGGACTTTAGACAAGTAAACAGACCAAAAATTAAAATTTTGCCAATATGAATTTATCAAAAGTAGTATACATATACATACCGAAGGATATGGCCACTTGTAATGTAGTTCCCACCAGTTGATGAGCTTTTGACGCGCATCTTTCGGAAGTTTGCCTTTCTTCTTCTTCTTGGAGAGCTCTTGCTTGAGGCTGCTTAAATAGCCGCTGTATTTTTTCAAAAGGTGGTTCTTAAGCTCACGATCCTCTGCACGTGGGTCGATCTCCCCAACTGATCCCAATTCACCACCGCTCATTTCTTCCTCCGATGAACCCACACCCTCGCACTTCTCCTCTATTTTACATTCATTCATTCACCCGGAAAAAATGAATTATTAATGAAAAGTGTAAATAAATTGATTAATTGTTCTAACCTAGCTAACAACACAAATTAATGCATGTAATCAAATGAATTTTGCTTCGTTGATTTTGCACATTAACCACCACATGATGATCAAGATGCTCCAGATCGAGTAAAACGCAACGAAATTAATTTGCGGTTTGAATTGAACTAACAAAAAAACCTCGTCCCATGAAAATTTCGCACGTGACGTGTAATATGATAACTGCCATGACTAAGGACTCGATTGAGTTCATAAACATAAATACATTCATGGAGATTACATGTTGATACACTAGACATTTTTCATGAATAATTTCCGTTCTCATTACATCCCTCACCTTCACTTTCCGTAAATACTGAACAAATTATAGTAAAAATAATTTAATGTGTGCCGAGAAGGATATATGTAACTATAAGATAACAATTTAGCTATTGCAAGCACATAAAGTAAGTTATTAACATGCAGAACTAACAAATCAGACATTCAGAACTCTCTAGTTAAGTGCAAATAATAAAGACCAAAATGTTTCACTACAAATACGAAAAATATGATGCTAATATTAATATTAATATTAATAGAAGGTCAAACAACATATAATTTATAACTTAAACTTCTAGACAAATTAAAGATTTATGACAGCGCATAGCACACATGGTTAACCAAAACAAGTCAATGTATACCAATTTG